GCCCGCGATACGCAACCGCGTGCCAGCGCCCGACGCGCACGACGCCCGCTGCCACCCGACGCCGAGTCCCGCGTGCCGTGTGTTCGTGATCCGTTTGACGTGTTGATTAGAATCAACTAAAGGCCAAACCTATCCGCCCATTAGGTTGTGGTGTTCAGACGAACTTCACCAACGGTACTCTACATCGTCTCAGAGTCGGCAAAAATTTTAAAAGGTAAACGTCCATATCCTAACTATAGATTCCGCTGCGTTAGGATTTATTTCGATAAAGTTCAATGCCGTGCATGTTGTTTGACGTTCCTAACAGAACCCAACACTCAGCACAACTCATCATTACGCCTGGCTAAGTGGCATGCTACCAGGATGAATGGCAATTAGCCGCCGTTGACTATTCCCATGTAATGATTACATTTCAGATAAATATTGTAAATAAATATAAAAGGAGAAAGGAGATTCTCCGGTCGGACACGAGAAATAGACACTAGTATTCAGAAAATTCTATCTCATTCAGCTTTTCATACGATCTTTGTTAATCTATCTTGAACACACGATAAATCTTTGATTATCCTATAGTTGTTAATTTCCATTTAACAACAGTTTGGCGCTAGAGGAAGGGCCTCATCACGTTTTGAGGTTAACTTTCGCTGTTATAGCCATTTCTGCGCTCGAAGTCACCATGTCGCAATCTGGTCGAGAACATACAGATCATCCTGGCCAGAGCCAATCAACTAACCATTCCCCACGGCGTTCAACACCACCTCCTCCGGTCACGAATATCACGAACTTCCTTCAAAATCCAGAGTTTATTCAAGGTTTAACCTCTCTGATAGCTCGAGCCATGCCCAGAAACTCGAGTACGGTGCCATTATCAACGCTGTTTGCCACCAATCCAACGGAACATCCAAATCATACTCGTCATGACCCTGAAACGCATGCAGCGACATCCCATGCTACTTCACAGCCACATCATACTTCTCCACGTCGAGAGGAGTTAACTCGTATAACCGCTAACCCAGTAACAAATAACCAGGCCCCGGAGGAACCCCCCGTACAGGAAATGACTGCTGAAAGCCACTCTACTCATCATCAGCGAATTCCGTCACGTCCTAGACCTACTTCACCGATGCCTCATGTTCGTGAAGATTTATGGCGTCAGATTGAACGGAATCGTATCTCAAGACACAATGCAGAGGAAATTGAAATTCTCCGTAAACGCTTGGCCGAACTCGAGACTCGACAGAAGTCACAAGAAGATTCTCCCCGACATGTCTCGACGTCGGGAAATGTCATTATTGAAGCTGATTCACCTTTAGCTCCGGAACTTACCGCGGAAGCACTCCCTGCTAAGGTAAAGTTCCACAAATTGGCATGTATGATGGAACCTCGGACCCAGATGCGCACTTGGGTCATTATACGTCGTGGATGGATTTGCATGGAGCCTCAGATGCTTTGAGATGTCGGATGTTTTCGCTTGCACTGGGGCCACGAGCACAAAAATGGTACTATACTCTTCCACCTCATTCAATTTGGAAGTGGCAACAGTTACGTGCGGCCTTCCGATCACACTTCATCGGAGCTCAAATTTGTCTCATCCCAAAAGAATCAATCACTAACATCGTGCAAAAGGACGACGAAACTGTTAAGGACTACGTGTCTCGGTTCAACGACCGAATTCAGAATATTGAGCCTTGTCACCCTGAGACCTTGTTGGTAACCGCAATCGCTGGACTGAAGCCCAACTCGATGTTTCGCTGGACCCTATGCCAAAACAAACCGGCTACGTTTCAAGAATTCCTTGTACGAGCTCAACAATTCATTTTTGCCGAGGAATCGATGTCGGTTCCCAGTTTCGACTTCTCGGCAAAAGAAAATAAGACTGAACCGGATGCTAAAAAGAGGAATAAGAAGAACTTTGGGAAAGCACAATTTCAGAATTTCTCCAAAGGGTATGAAAACACTCCAGAGTCCAGGGCTGCTCGTGATCAATATTCAGACAATGTCAGGACAGGCTATCAGGCCGTTTATTCAGCCGGAGCAGCTACTATATATGAACAACTGAAAGGAAAAGGGATTATTCCAGACCCGAGACCCGTGAGAACTCCTGAAGACAAGCTGGACAAAACTCGGTACTGTGCATACCATAAGCTCCGGGACATAATACCGATGAGTGTCTCGGTCTTTTGTCAGCCCTCTTACGGTTAATTGGACAACCTCAACTTCAAAAGTTCCGAAATTTTGATAATCGCCGGAAAGGGAGGCCCTTAGATCTTTCAGATGATGAAGATGATGATAATCGACCTGTTAATCCGAAAAGAGCCCGCACAAACGATAAGGAGGTTTTCACATTTTCTACTCTTGTCGGAACTTCGACCGATAACTACAAAAAATCCAAAACACATAATACCTTAGACTCTTCACATTGCATACCTCGAGTCAATTCTAATAATAAATAGCTGGACACTTCTCGACGGAAAGCCAAAGCCTATGCTAGGGAGGCACAAAATGCCGAGAAACGAGTCATGAACGTTGATCTTCGAGATACCATTAACAAACGGAATTGTCCTATCACATTCAGTATCGAAGATGCCAATCTATTTGCTCATCCTCATTCCGACGCCCTTATTATCACAGCCCCGATTGGAGGGATCCCTGTTCACCGAATTTTGGTCGACACAGGAGCTTATTCAAGTATTTTGATGCTCCGCACTTTCAAGAAATTGGGTTTGGACCCAGCAGATATCAGACCTTGCAACGACCAAATTCAAGGTTTTAACGGAAGCATCTCTTGTCCCGTCGGCGAAATATTACTCCCCATTCGATTTGGCGGTTTTGGGCCAAAATCCAAGATTATCATGGAGACTTTCAAAGTCTTGGATGTCCAGAATGAATATAATGCTGTTATAGGGCGAACTGCACTTTACAAGCTCCGTGCTGCCGTGTCAATTTTTCATTACGCCTTGAAATTCCCTACCATTGAAGGAGAAGGCACTCATTACGGAGATCAACGAGAAGCCCGAAGTCTGACGTTGCTTTCAACCTCGCGTAACTTTCATATGATTGAAGAGCAGGATACTGATAACTCTATTGAGTTGAACAACCCAACTCCTCCTGATGCTCAAAGGACTAATCAATTCGCTTCAAATACCGACGTTCCTCTTCTTGCAGATACCGATGTCCCTGTGACGTCGGATTTGCCTGAAACACTAAATGAAGCCCTTGATCAAGAACAATCTTTTCATGAGAAAGACATATGAATACACGAAGATATGGATCCACGGATGCAATTCAAAGATAGGAACCACCATGCCCGAGCGGAACCAGTCGAAGACATCGAAACTATTTACGTGGATGGATTGACTCAGGAAAAATCATTGCGCATTGGAGCTAACCTTCAAGAACCTACACGATCGAGCTTAATTCAATTTCTTCAGTCAAATTCCGATGTATTCGCCTGGAAGCATGAAGACATGAAATGAATAGACCCGCAGAAAGCATGTCATCGATTAAATTTGGATAAGACCGTCAAGCCTGTCATACAGAAACGCCGAAAATTCGGCCCAGATCGCCAGAAGGCTCTTGAAGAGGAAGTGAACAAGCTCATAGACAATAAGTTCGTCAAAGAAGCCAAGTACCCGACGTGGATATCAAATCCTGTCTTGGTTAAGAAAGCCACCGGCCTTTGGCGTCTGTGCATTGATTTCTCGTATTTAAATCAAGCATGCCCGAAAGATAGCTATCCAATTCCACACATTGATTACATGGTAGACGCTACATCGGGACATCAACTCATGATCTTTTTGGATGCCTATTCCGGTTACAATCAAATTCCCATGCACCCTGATGATGCTGAACATACATCGTTCTACTCAGCCCGAGGTCTGTATTGCTATGTCATGATGACTTTTGGATTGAAGAATGCTGGGGCCACATACCAAAGGTTGGTCAATAAGATGTTCGCTCGTTTGATCGGTCGTACAATGGAAGTTTACGTAGACGACATGCTGGCAAAATCGGAACAAACCTCTGATCACATCACTCATCTTTCTGAAGTCTTTGACATTCTCCGAGAATATTCCATGGTGCTTAATCCTAAGAAGTGCACCTTTGGAGTTGGATCTGGGAAATTTTTAGGATACGTGGTGAATTAGAGAGGAATCGAAGCCAATCCTGCCAAGATCCAAGCCATACTTGAATTGGCTCCCCCGACATCTATCAAAGGTGTCCAAGCTTTAACTGGTCGACTGGCAGCTTTGAACCGATTCATTTCAAAGTCGACAGATCATTGTAAGCCGTTCTTTGACGCCATCAGAAAGAAGAAGCCGTTCGAATGGACCGTGGAATGTCAGAATGCTTTTGACAACATCAAAGAAGTTCTTTCACGGTTACCAACGTTGCAGAAACCCCTTCCTGATAAACCTTTGTATTTGTACTTGGGTGTAAGTGATGTCGCTGTTAGTGCTGTTCTTATACGACAAGATGGACTTCAGCAGTTCCCGATATATTACGTTAGCAAGGCCTTACATGACGCTAAATTGCGATATCCGTATATGGAGAAGTTAGCCTTTGCTTTGATCATCGCTGCACGAAAGCTGCACCAATATTTTCTGGAGCATTCTATTATTGTGTTCACATTATATCCTCTCCGACAAGTCCTTCACCGACCTGACACATCAGGAAGAATGATTAAGTGGGCGATAGAACTGGGACAGTTTGATATTCAGTACCGACCACGCACTGCCATCAAAGCCCAAGTGTTATCTGATTTCATTGCAGAGTTTACCCCAATTATCAGTACATCCATTGAAGATCCGACATGGACTCTTTACATTGATGGATCGTCCACCGCTATACGAGCTGGAGGAGGAATTGTTTTAGTTAGTCCTGATCATCAAGTGTTTTGTTACTCTGTAGCATTCACTTTCCCGACCACCAACAATGAAGCTGAATATGAGGCCCTCTTATCAGGCCTACACTTCGCTGAATCCATGAATATTTCTTCTCTCCGAATATTTTCTGACTCTCAGTTACTGGTCAGCCATATTAATGGCACTTACGAAGTTAAGGAACCACAGTTGTTGCCTTATTTTGATCTCGTCAAGAAGAAGCTATCACGGTTCAAAATGACGTTAGAACATATACCTCGGTCATCTAATATTCAAGCAGATGCTCTTTCACGTTTGGCCTCTTCAACCGATTTGAACAATGTCAAGTTTGTGCAAATTACTCAACAGGCGACCTCCTCAACAGTCTCTACCGACGTCGTCATGATCGACGCTGCCTCGCCAATCCCAGACACGACATGGATGGATCCAATCATCAACTACCTTAAAACCGGGGCTGTACCCGAAGACCCAAAAGAAGCTCGTGCTCTTCGTGTTCGTGCTGCTCATTTCACAATTGATCAAGGAACATTATATAAGCGTGGATATTCTACTCCATTGCTCAAGTGCTTGTCAGAAATTGACGCCCGACGTGTTCTTCAAGAAGTACATGAAGGAGTCTGCAGTACCCACCAAGGAGCACAAGCTTTGTCCCACAAGATTCTCCGACAAGGCTACTATTGGCCGACTATCAGGAAAGATGCCGCAGACTGGGTGCGAAAATGTCACAAGTGTCAGATATTTGCTCCCAACGTTAATCAACAACCTGAACTCCTCAAGTCAATATATAGCCCATGGTCGTTCGCAAAATGGGGAATTGATTTGATTGGCCCGCTTCCGACAGCAAAAGGAGGTGTTCGGTTTGCAATATTAGCTGTTGATTACTTCACCAAATGGGTTGAGGCCGAACCTCTTGCAACCATTACTGAACAAAAGATGGTCGATTTTGTGTGGAAATCAATCGTTTGTCGGTTTGGAATACTGAAATCCATCATAACCGACAACGGTCATCAGTTCGAAGGGAAACGATTTGAAGGCTTTTGTGAAGATTATGGCATCAAACACTTCTTCTCATCACCTTATCATCCACAAGCTAATGGAAATACAGAAGCTGTAAATAAGATTATAAAAAATGGTCTGAAAACTCGGCTTGAGACTGCAAAGGGATCGTGGCCTGATGAGCTACCTTATGTCCTCTGGTCTTACCGGACTACGACACGAAACTCAACTGGAGAAACTCCATTTTCATTAGCATACGGGACTGAAGCTGTGATACCGGTTGAACTTACTTCTCCAACATATCGGATTACTCTTTTTTTCGAAGAAACCAACTCGGCAAACCTGAAAGCCAATCTCGATTTGGTCGATGAATTACGGGCTGATGCTG